GAAACGTTGCTACAACTTTAAAAGCACAACTACAATGACGTGGGAAAATACCCGAACAAAGCTGAATACCATACATACATACATACATACATACATACAAAATAAAACTGTCAGCAATGTAGTTCAGATATCTGATTAATATTCACATAGCATCCATACAGCTCATAGACCATACTACACTTCGCTTTTATTCATTTTCTTCTGCAGATCTAACAGCATGTAGTGCACCTGCTGCTATTAACACTCATAATCAGGATAATTGCCAGTATGAAATGGATTTGAATTATCTCATATCTAATATACATGATACTGCAGATGATAAGGGACACTGACAATACAGGTAGTCCTCAAGTTAAGACTGTACTTGAATCCTGCAATTATGGCCATAACTTGTGAGGTTTGTAAAGCAGACCCACTTTATGACCTGTTGGTGGTCATATTTGCTGTGGGGCATTGTTTTTTGTTTTGCTGTAAATGAGAAATGAATGCTGGTTTCTAGCAAAAAAATATACTTGTGGCCATGTGACCACAAGGCATCACCAATGGCTGTAAATGTAGGCCAGTTACCCAGCATCCAAAATGCAATCATGGGACTGCAATCGACCCCCAACCATTGGGGTCATGAGCCTCTTTTTCAGAGCCTGCTTTAACTTTAGTTACTAATGTGGGTATGTGGATGCACACATGGCTGATTATAGGTAGTCCTCAACCTATGATCATTCATTCAGCAATCATTCACAGTTATGATGGCACTAAAAAACAATGCTTACAACTTGTAAAGAGTTTGGCTATCTAAGCATCAGCACACTGGCTACTTGTGCACACCCTCCCCACCACTCCTGCATCCCAACCTTCCCAAAGCTCATGCCTCCCACAGCCAATTACACCTGTTTGCCAGTATGCTTGCAAGCCACCTGAGACTTGCACTTCCTGCTAGCTTCTCCGTCAACTTGATTGGGGAAAGTTGGCAGGAACTTGCCTCGCCTAATGACTATGGGATTCATTCAGAATGGCAACTGGGAATGCAGGGGTTACTCTTGCTAAGTGATACAGTTACACTTTACAAATGTATCACTTAGCTATGGAAATTCCAGCCCAATTGTCAAGAATTACCAATAATGACAAACACAAAATTTGCTACTGAATTAGAATTTACTTAAGTGATCAAGTTCCAAAGGGGAAAAAGGTGATTTTAAGTGAGCATGCGTGCCTACATGGCATACCTATTGGCATCTGCTTATAGCAAATATCTTTGGAGAGGCAACGCACATAGGAAAAGATTTAGGCAGTCCTTACCTTATGTCTACCATTGGGATTAGGACTTCCATCATCATTAAGTAAGCAATCTGGTCATTAAGTGAGTTCCACCTGATTTTATTACTTTTTTTTTTTGCCATGTTCATTAAGTGAATCACTCAGTTGTTCAGCAAATCTAACTCGTCCCATTGACTTGGCTTATCAGTATGTCCCTTGAATGTCCCAAATGTTCATCACATGATTCCAGGACACTGCAACCATCATAAATACATGGTGGTTGCCAAAAGTCCAAATTTTGATCATATGACACAAGGGTGCTACAACAATAAGTGTGAAGATAGATCACTCACTTTTTACAGCATTGTCATAACTTCTTGTTATTGTTGAGGACCACTTGTAAATAATTCCTTAAAGATCTGATGATAAGTACTAGTTGAATATTCCTGAATGATCCAAATCACCTTTTTTCTTTCAAACCCAGATCACTGTACAATCCTTTCAAATGTTAAAAGTATCAAAGAAAAAGAAAAGACAACATACAGATTTTCGCTTTGGATGGCATAAAGATGAGGTAGCAAGGGATTTCAAGGAATTACTTCTTAATTTTCCCTTTTCTGTGTTCTTTGACTGATTATAATCAGTTTTAGAAACATTTTCACTTTCTACAGTGATTAAATATCGTTCAGATTCAAAGTCATCACCAGGTTTTATCTAGAGAGATGGATAAAAATATTTTAAATTTCACTACATTTATATAACTCCATAGTATATCAATACTGCTTCTCTGTTGGACTCTTAAGCATAGCTAGGTAAACTTGATTCCACATAAGATTAGCTGAATATTTTAAGCATTTATATCTTTTAGACCATTTTGTTTTCCCGGAATTTTAGTGATAACTAATGAAAATATACTTGTTTGAAGGGTAGAGTTTTGTTGTTCAGTAGAACACTGCAAAATGTATGAATGAGAAAAAGAAAGTTTACTATGCATTGGTTGGTTTAGAAAAAGTGTGCTTGATATTGCTCTCTTGTCCATGTTTTGTTCTCTTGACTTCTACCATCTTGGCTGGGTTTGGTATTGAGCCCAATTACTACTCACTGCTTCAGCTGTCTTTTAGGAAAAATAAGGTTACTTTTGGGAGTGTCCTATTAAGTGAATATCATCTGCATTGCGTCTGCAGAAAGTACTTTACATGAGTCATGGCTCCAATATTCCCAAGAGTTGGCAAGGCTTAATACTTGTCTCCACTAAGCTTACATCAGTTCCTGAAAGCTGAACCCCTCAAGTGACAACAATTTACTCCAATCTTCTTACTGGGAAGTACATATAAGATAAGAGTTTGTGGGTCAAAAGAGAAATGAATCAAAGGCTTTGCAATAAAAGTAGCAATGACATCAGCCAGGATGGTAGTCAAAAATGTCATGGGTGAGCTGACAGGACACACAGAATCAAGGATGTGACAGGCAACACTAATCATGCACTTTAAAGTTCCGCCCATTTGACTGAGATAAGGTGTAGACTTGATCAAAGTGTACAATGACCTTAAGAAAATTATATCTCACTGTGCTAATATGAAACCTTTACAGAAAGCCAATTTGGATAGAACTGGGTGAAACAGATTAGTGTCTGGCCAGCAATGGTCACATGATCTTGACAATTGGCTTATTATCAGTTGCAAAGACAATTTGCAATGTTTTTTGCTGGTTTCCAGAAAAAAACTCCCATTCAAAAGAATGAATTTGCTTAATAAATTAATTTGATTCGCTTTACCGGCCATATAATTTGTTTTATAACCATCATGAGTCACAGCCATCATAAAAAAGATCATAAAATCAAATCTGATCATGTGGTGCCTTACTATCACAACATGACCAAAATTCTGGGCTCCATTGTCATGAGTTCAGAATAATCTGTACTAAACAAATAAAAACAAAAGCACATACCTGAAATTTTATGAAAATACTATCCAAGAGCTGTCCTTTATCATCAAACAAATTTGCCTGTATTAAACAAGAAAAATAAAAGATGGTGGGTATTTCCTTAAGTACAGATAGATATAAATGGATTAACAGATATAAAACTGCTGACACTGTACACCAAACCGAACCTACAAACTGATCCTACCTTATTTCCTCCAAATGCAGCCTTCAAAATTCCATCTTGCCACACTTTAGATTTTTTAGTCTTTTGATGTGTGTACAAAACCTATATTGATATGTGAAAATATATTCTTGATTACTGTTTCACTATATTGTTTATTTTTGTATTGCAAAATGAAATATATAATGTATGAAATATTATTGAAATAAGATTATAGACTCACAATAAATTCCTGATAAGCCATTATGTTGACATGCTAAGATCACACCACCTGCTTTCACTTCCAATCATCACATCACCTGTAAAGGGAAATATCCTGTTAAAATAATATCTCTGAAATTCTAAGCTAAATATTTATTATAGTTTATAAATGTCATTTTATATTATTTCCTTAAACAATATGAGGAATATGAATTCTCTAGTTCAAAAGGTGATTTACATGTATGCATCTAGAAATTCCAGTTTCAATGAAAATTAGTCTAGAACAAATTTTTTAAAATAAAACCAAGCAGTACATTACCATAAGCACATCTTCAGAAATATATCTTGTTTTAAATGAAGATATTTAAATTTCTATAAGAATATAACCTTAGCTACATGATGTCTCTTAAATCACAATTTATTCTGAGGTTTTTTTTTAAAAAAATTGAATTTTGTTTTGAAGAAGTGTAACCTAATACATTTCTTCAGTATGTTCAATTCCATGTAATGACCACAAGATGTCTCACTTAAATCTTTCTCAGAAAAGTTTTGTAATTATGTAATGAGATTAATGATCAAGCTAATTGACTATTTAAAAAAAAATCACTGATCAATCCAGAGTTCTCCTAACAGACTCAACTTATATTTCAGACATCTTCCCTTGAAAAGTCCATGATGCTGGAAAAGGTGGAAGAAAAGAGAATTGGCTTCATGCAGCAGCAATAGTTATACCATGGGAGATCTGAAGATCCAGGCTGGGAAGATGTCATCCTGGAGAAAGCCTGTGATCACTATGTGATCACAAAAAGTCACCACTGACTTGATAGCATATAATTACTGCAGATCAGACTTGCTAAATGTAATATAAACATATCTATAATTCTAGTTGCAATCTATTTTTTATTTTACCCTGAATTCTAAACATACCTGACATTGTTCCCTGTTTTGTTAATCTCATTTTCACCTTCCCTATTACTAAATTATATGACATTAAACTACAATTCTGACTTACATTTCGACCATGCTTTTTCCCCATGGATTTATGGGTTACTTTTATGTCATCCTTTTTTATGTCATCCTTTTTATGTCATGAGAGCCAGTTTGGTCTAATGGCTAAGGCACCAAGCTAGAAAGCAAAGATTGTGAAGTCCACCCCTCAGCCATGAAAGCCAGCTGGGTGACTTTGGGCCAGTCCCTCTCTCTCAGCCCAACTCACCTCACAAGGTTGCTGTTGTGGGGAAAATTGGAAAAAATATGTTGAATATGTTCATTATCTTGAGTTATTTGGGAAAATAATAAAGGCAAGGTATAAATAAATAAAAATGTCTCCTTTGCTGCGAAATGCTTGTGGGAGAATTGGGTTTATATAGAATAAATCCCGGAGAAAGGCAAGTTTCTGGCAGCAACCCTTTGTAACTGAATTTCTTTAGGTTGAGTGGGGATGAGTCTCAAATGCAACATGGGCATAACTATAGTATTGCATGCTGCATAGATCACAGAATTTCCATTTTTAAAATAATGGAAGGCTTTTCAAACAAAGACAAAGGCATCTTAAACCGATTTATGACCTATGGCTATAGTGTTTAGGGGCTTCCTATCACACAAGAACAAGAAACTGCACTGTTGCTTTTCAGTAATTACTGGAGTGAAATTCAGCAATGTAGTTGAATGGGGCTCGGGGAAGTATTTATTGCTCACCCCTGCTTCAAAAGACTGTGGTGACTGAAAGAAGAAGATAGGAGAACTAGATGAACCCGCTGTCTCTTTTTCATTAGAGGATAAGAGAAAGAAACGGCACCCAAATCTGATGTTAATTTAAAAAAAAGTATAAAACGAATTAGATATCACACCTACTGACAGATCCTCAGCCAGATTAGGACTGACCACAGTCCTCAGCCAGATTAGCCAAAGGGCGCCTATAAGCCTGATAATCGTGTCGACCGAGCTCCTTCACACGCCGCGAGGATGGCAGCGCCTCCTCTCTGTCAGCAGAACTTTACCTTACGAAAGTTCCCGCTCCACAAGCGCGATGACGTCTCTACGACGCGACAAATACCATAGAGACAAAAAGTGCTGTACCGTCATGATCGCCGACTCCTGTATGGAGTACACAGTATTGGAAGGTTTTTTAAACCATAAAGTTGATTAAGGGTAGAGCGGTGCTAGTATCTTCAAACTTGGCAAGTTTAAGACTTGTGGACTTCAATTCCCAGAATTCCTAAGCTAATATGACTGGAGAAGGGATTCTGGGAGTTGAAGTCCACAAGTCTTAAAGCTGTCACGTTTGAAGACCCAATTTTAGACAGAAGGAGGCGACGACAGCAGTTTTAATCATATGTACTAGGGAAGGAGCTTTGATGAATTTAATGTAAAGTCAAGGTCGAGTCCTGGTGGCAGCAGCACGTTTTTACCACGGCCTTTTCCTGATTTTTCTCCCAGATCTTCTCAATGAAGAGCATCTTCTCAATGAAAGCATGAAATCCCAGGCCGTCCCCAGCCAACTCGAGTCTACTTTGCTTAGTTTCCTAGATCAACCAATTCATGCATTTTTACCCGTGTGGTAGATGAAAATACTGTTTATTGTTATCATGCCTTTATTATAAATGCTCAAGGCGAACATACCTAATATTCCTCCCTCTATTTTACCCACACAACATCCCTGTAAGGTGAGTTTGGTTGAGGTAACGACTTCGGTCAAAGTCACCTTTTGGTCTTTTTGACCGGGATTTTATCCCAATTTCCCAGTGATATACAGTCAACGCGCTAGCATTGTCGACGCTAAAAGCCATCTTTTTTTTTTTTGCTACCGAGCGATTTTTAGTAGTATTTATCAAACTTCGCCACCTTAAAAAGGTGTGGACTTCAATTCCCAGAATTCCGCAGCCAGCATGCCTCCAAATAAAAGTCGCCAAGCTTGAAAATCACTGAAACGTCTTTGAAAAAAAACCATCACTCTTCTAAACATGAGCGCACGTTTAAACTTTTTCTCTCTCTGTGGATCCGTAACGGGAATGGCTACGAATCTTCAACGCGCCTCCATATAAACGGATTCTGGCGGGGTTGCCAGCCTTCCAGCCAGCCAATATAAAAAAACCAGGAAGAAGGGGGATCTCCCGCGTGTCGCGCGAACATTTCATCCTAAAGTTGTGGACGGGGCGGAGAATCGGAGCTTCCAAGCGGCTTAGAGTAGACTATGACTTTGCTCTGAAGTCCTCATCTTGATGCCTGGCGTCGGGTCCTTTCGAGAGCACGTGGGTACGAAAGGGTGTTTATGTATGTGTGTGCGGAGGGGGGGGGGAGGATTTAACCCATCGCCTCCCTCGCGCACGCGCACCCGAATCAAGCCCCCCCCCCCAGATCTGCACGGCGCGTGCTGAGCGGGAGGAGGGGGGACCTGAAGGAGCCCTTTTCAACCGTCGAGATGGTGGCGCTGCTGACGTTATCTGGAGGCGCGCTTGCAACGGGGGCTGAGGTGGGTGAAAGCTGTCGCCGCTGATGTGCTCGGCTTTCCCTCTGAGCAGCTCGAGGGGCCGTTCGAGGGCTTTGCCCCGCAACCCGAAGAGCTGGGGAGATCCTTAGGTTGTTTAGACTTGGCACTCCTCGCTTAGTGTCCTCCGGAAACGTTGTGCTGTGGCTCCCGTCACTACTCGCAGCCAAGAAGCCTCCGCCGGCTGCACAGCCCGTTCAGTTCTGAGGGAGCCCCAAGGCGAGGCAGCTTCTTTGGGATCTTCAAAGCCCGGCCCTGTCCTTGCTGAGGGAAGAGAGCCACGGGCAGCTTCTCGTCTTCCCTCAGAGTTCGTACTCTTTGCTGTATCCCAAGCAAAGGAAAAAAATTGCGAGATTTTCAGCCCTGCCTGGATAGCTGATTTCGTTTTCAAAACGCTTTCATTAACTTCTGGTTCTGGCATAGAAGATCAAAGTAAGTCGGGATTAAACAGTATAAACATTGTGTTTCCAATAGTTACTTGGCTGCTTTTTGGGGTTCTTGAAAGCGTTCCGGAGGGATAATTTACGTTATCGATTGTGGAAGCAGAGCTTTTTGATTGTGAATTTTTATACATTAATTTACGTAGCGAGCTGCATATTCATATATTGAAAAGTAAAATATCTTAAGAAATGTTGCATCAGGATTGTAAGTTTGCCCACTTGGGAAACGGTGGTCTTGTTTTCCTTTGGCATTAGAATTGGAAATACACTATCCTTAATAGCAGCAGGAAGTATATATTTGTATATATTCTTTAGAACATGGTTCTAAAATGAAATATCTACTAATGTCTTATTGGCAGAGAGATTGGAAAAGGTTGTGTGGAATGCTTGCTTTGGTAACAGTTAAAACTTTTGCTGATGTTGAAGAGCACTTTTTTCTCTACTTAGAACATTTTTAAGATTCAAAAGAATATTTAATTCTCATGATGAAGCATATGGCAGAAATGGATCCTTCTTTAGCACAAGACTATCACTTTATATTTTACTTGGGACTGAGTTGTTGGGTTCAGTGAGGATTTTAAGGTGTGAATTAGACTTGTGCTACTAAATGTTATTTTTGATAAGTTGCTCTTTTAATATTTATATATTTGCTCAGATACTTGTATGTCTTGCAAATATAACAAGAATTGCTATTCTTTCTTCGTGTTTTCTAATGTAAATAAATGCATTTTCTGCTGAGTATTGCCATATTGTTTTGACAGAATGCTATATTTTAGAAATAAAAGAAAATGTAGTTATAGTGTTGGTCTGAGAAATGTGGAATAGCAAACTACTATTGAAAATTTCCAGGCTGTTATTCTTTTAATACTTCATATTTGCAAATGTAGTCCTTTGTTTCCCACTGAACAGCCATCTCCAGTTTTGCTCCTCTCTACATATATTTTGTAAGAATAAGATCACTTCTTAAAATTACTTTAATTAACATATTGTGTAATGTAAGTATAAAGTAGATACATTTATGTTGAAAATGACAGTTATGCTTTGTTTTCAGATGACAGTGTGATAGGAATGGAAACAGAAAGAAGCAAAATTATGGAGAAAGAAACTACTGAACAAAGAAAGGAACGAGAAAAAAAGAAAAGATCTAGAGTTAAACAAGTGCTTTCAGATATAGCAAAACAAGTTGACTTCTGGTTTGGTGATGTTAATCTTCACAAAGACAAATTTCTTAGAGAACAAATAGAAAAATCTAGAGATGGATGTAAGTCTGCTTGTTTTTAACTGGCAATTAAAAATACATTATTACTGAAATGCAGTTCATTTATTTATTAAACAAATTTATATAACCACCCAAACATGGTAACTCCCCAGCTGCTTACAAATGTACTTGAAAAATAGTTCCTGTTGGTTATATACACATAACACGCACATGCATATTATTACAGATATCTATATCAACTACAGATTTAGTTTATTTAAAAACAGTTGGCCCTTTGCTGCTTTTCTGACTAATTTAATTTTTGTGCACCCATATAATAGAATACCATACATTAGACTTTTATCAGTTTTGCTATACAAATAGGAAGTGTTTATGGTGGCAGAGTTCTTTTTATGGGAGTCCTTCCTGGAATCTCATCTGATAGTTATATTGCATTTATGTATAGTTATCTGAAATGTAATGAAGATTATAATGAAACTTTAAAATCAATTATGGAGTAATTTATGAATAAACTGAAGCATAGGCTTTATTGTAGAACTTAAATATGCAAGGCTTTTTCCCAAAAGAAAGCATATTGTATACAATTTTATACTATTGTACTATATATCTTCTTTGTTTCAGTAAACTAAAGTCCCAGTAGTGACCTCACACTTAGGAGTGATCAGTCACCCTTAAACAACTCATTTCGAGAGTTCAAATTTCACTAAACCCAACTATTCTTTTCCCTTGTCCAATCAGAAAAATTGAGCATTTCTATCAATCAGTTCCCAAGATTGGTATAGCAAGTTTTTTTCAATTCAAGTTACAATGTCCAGTGCTAATTTTAATTCTTTTAATTTTAGATGTTGACATATCGCTTCTGATTTCTTTCAACAAAATGAAAAAATTAACCACTGACAGAAAATTGATAGCACGAGCAGTTAAAAGTTCATCTGTTGTAGAAGTGAGTATGAAAACTGTTTTTTATTCTGTAAGAGCAAAAGGAGGAAATATTTGGAACAGATTTTTAATTTAATTTTATACCTTATAGTTGGATTTAGAAGGAATCAGGATCAGAAGGCGGCAACCTTTGGGTGATGAGCCAAAAGATGTGGATGGTCGTACTGTATATGTGGTAAGATAGTGCCTATTTTCTTTCGCTTTATTATTTTTAATATTTCCTTAGAAACAGCCAATTAAATATTGCAAAGGTTTTTGTATAGGTAGAATTTTAAAACAATAGAACTTTAGCCAGTTGGCACAATATTTTGGCTCTCTTTAACATAACTATAAACATTGTCTAGCATAAGCCAGGAGAGTCTTGGTATGCCACCTCCTTCTCTCTCCTTTCAGGCAAAACCCTCAATTTCTGAGTGCTGACGTACAATATTTTTTTCTGTAGATAATTGAACAAGAGTTTATGAAAGAATAGGATTCATGGAGAGGGATTTCTCTTTTCTTAAAATCTTCTCTTAATCCTGTGAGAATGGGATAGAGAACAGTCAATCCATCGAATGAAATCAGAACTGGTGCTTCTTCCACTGGCACAATTATAAAAAAAAATATTGTGGCCATTATAATTTCACTTTTCAGGATTTTCCCACATCTTTAAAAGCACAACTACACACACATACACACACACACAATTATCATATTACTTACCTTCTGTTACCACTTCTTTTGAGTACAATCACTTTTTCCAATTACACTCACTAGCTGGATTAGAATACATGTTGCAGATGCCCAGATCAGGAGATTATTTGTAATTGAACTGAATATTTAGATTTGCTCTAAAA